ATTAGAAAAATATGTTATTTTAATAATATTTTAACTAAATTTATCTTTGTCAAAATCAAAAATTTCGACCCGTGTATACTTCGAGTTCTGAAGTCCGATACAAACTGGTAACATTTTTCTTGTATACTTGAAGGGAATGTTGAAGGTACCATATCTTCGACTGGTTTCTAGCATTAAAACGAGTTAAAATTAGTTGATCATAGCACCTATTCAGGGTCTAGTCTTAAGGTTAATTCCGTCTTTTGTATATACCTTAAATTTCTTTTGCTGTTTTTTTGATAAACATTCCACTATACTTGATTCATCACTGATAACTTGGCTAGCTAAAGGTTCTTCCCAAGTTAAATCAGATTCATGTATTTTGTTTAGAAAAGTAACCAATTGTTGGTAAAGTGCTGATGTACCATTCTTGAAAAATAGGGAGTAATGTTACATGAAAATCTAGAGTTAACTTATACTGATAAAAATAATGCATTAGTTACCATAAGTTTTCCCTTCAACAAGTTTATATTACGCTTAATTTCATCCAATGCGAGAGGCTTCTCCTTATTCTGTGAGTAGAATATTACGTTAGAAACTATTTTAATAGTTTATTTACTCCTGTCTCAAAACATACCGTTTTTAAAACACCAATTTCTTGTAAATTACAAACACTATCAAAGGCGACATTGAACTAACATAGATATATAATAAGTTAGAAATAGTTGATGAACCAAAAAATAATATATATAACCGCGCGGTCGTCAGAATAATACAAAGCCATCACCCAGTACGGCCTGGCTACATGAATGAGACTTTGTGTGGTACTATATTAACCACATAGAAACAAAACATTTATATATAGCATAAATACCCTCCACACCGTCCAGGATAATCCCTTTGGTGGGCTAATAGGAAATTTAAACTACTATGTTTGCTTCCTCAGAATGGTACCACTATTCGAGCTACTCATCATTCGATATTATATATAATACTTTTCAAGAGAAAAAAAAAATAATTCACCTGTAACATTATTTGAGTAATCTTCCCATATCGTAAAAAATCTCCCTCGTATTCTAGTACGTTTTTTACCGAATTTACTGCTCTCTCTACGATACCTCTTAGTTCGTCCTTTCTAATCCAGGGATTATCTTCCAACCCTTGATAAATAACTGAGGCTGCCATAATGTGTTCGGTTTTTAAGTTTGTTAAATATTCTATGATTTTTACGTATAGATATTCAGAAGACATGTTTTCGTTATTGATTCAAGGTATAAAAAATAATATTAAATTTATTAGTGTAAGAATAATGCAAAATATTAAAATCACTATAAAAGCAATGAATATCCATAACTTGATATACTGTCCTTTTTAAACGTTTTTTCTCTATCTAGATCTATCGAATGAATAATGCAGAGAGATAAAAAAAGAATGCCAAGAATTCCTCACAAAGAAAATGAATGTACATGAATGCTAATTAATCGAATTTGGTTAATCGCACAAATAATCATGCATGCGTCATTATTATAATCAGGCGTTACACATATCAAAATTTTATCTTTGCTCAGCCCCATTAAAATGTCATACGATATAATTGATTATCTGATTGATTATGCGGATAGATTATCAAATTTGAATTTCTTTTACTTTGCTAAACGATT